AGGGGGCCATGGCCCCCTTTGCCTTTCGCTCCCCTCCTTAGAATCCTCGATCCGCCACTGAACAGTTACATATCTTGGGAGCAGAGAACAACGAACAAAAATGTCGCCTTTTCGCATGGCGCCCAAAACAAAGATTGCAGAGCTGAGAGGTGGAGGAGCGTAGGGTGTGGAGAGAGGGAGGCGGAGGAACCATTAAAATATTAAGTCGTCCACTATTTTGCGCAGTTTGCTGTTTTTGCCCCCCTTACTAATCCCCAATAAAAAATCCTGGCTACCCCATTGGTGGCACGGGCAATTGGTGGAGGGGACGATTCCTAGACTCGGTGCCTCTGATGCCCCGTATGGGTGTTTAAAATAACGAAGCAATAAGGTTATGGCACTTAGAGGCAGAGAGCTTAATTGTTGCGGGATACATGGCGCTTGCATACCATAAACCGCAGTCGACGTACACGATACGTGCTGCGGAGTGCGGGAGCGTGACGACACGATACCCGGATGTCGCGCACAAGCACCGCGGATATATAAAGCGGGCCGCATCCGGGAGAGGGATTCTCCCCTCCCTCGGTCGACCCCTACCTACGTTCTAGCATCCGTCACGCGCTTACTGTACGCTACGCTTTGTATCGCTATGGCTGAAAATATAACCGCTTGTGGTACGTTACGTCTCTAGAACTTTGGTGTTTGCTTTACGTCTTATACGCAATATCGTTGCTCCTTACCTAACGCCCGCTCCCGTTCCCGTATCTTGACCGAATAACAACAAGGTTACATTTCTGTATTTACCCACCGTTGTCAAAATAGTGTCAACCCAAAAATAAATAGATCACCATGCACGTGTTTCTGGCCTATTCTACACTTTTCCATTCGCCTTTGAATCCATCATGCGCGTTTTTTTCCGAAACTGGCCATTACCTCCTTTGTCTAATTTTCCTTCAGAAGAAACCCTGTATAGACTATCTCAATATATAAACTATCTCAAAATATATAGATAGTTTCAAAATATGATCGTGATATATCAAAGCAGCGAAAGGAATACAGAAAAATATGGGAATAAGGATAACTGAGAAAACACAACAAATGAATACCACAATAGAACATATAGAGGAAAGTGTTATAAAGGCAATATAGTCACACAGGCAAACAACTAATTATATTGATTATATTGCTAGACGGGTGGAAAAGACACAGAAACAGGAAACATTAAGTGTGCAAGTGGGAACATATATGCAAAAGGAAATTAGCAAGTATTAATAATTTCGACTAGTATATAACGACTGATACTGAGTAGAGGCTACATGTAATTTACTAATGAGGAGTTCAAATCAAACACCTTTAAGAAAGTAACAAACGTCTGGGATATGTTAACAAATATCCATCTCTGTGGGCACTATAATGATTCTTATTTAGGTATTCACAATAAGTTGACATAGATTAATGAAACTGCATTCCAGTAAAATAAAATAGCACAATTCCATGCAAATCAGTTCATTGGGACGTTATTTCCAGATGAATAAAACGTTCAAGTAAAGAAATAGCACAATTACATGCAAATCAGTTTCTTGGGACGTTTATTTCCAGTACATTCACTACATTGTCTATGGAGCCGAAACACAAGCATGCATGTACGCAATTGGTCTGTGCTACTTAAGGCTCAGTCACACATTCAGGATTTTTACTGCCGTCCTTGATA